ATATATATATATATATACATATAAGGTCCCAAAGTTTAAAAACCGACATTTTTATATCAACCTAACATTATTATATGCGTTAAACATATGTGTAATAGTACAAAGATTAATTTGTAAAGATGAAAAATAAATTGCGTGTAAAATGAACCAGAAAAATTAATTAACTTGACAATCATCTAATTTAATAGATACAAATTTTTATTAATCATTTTAGCGTTTTTACGAAAGTCGTTTGAAAAGTTTTGAACAGAAACAAGTATTTTTCAAATTCAATTTTATTTTTCAACACAGTCTCCTTTTATATTTTTTCCAGTGATATTTCCCTTTAACACAGTTGTTGACCGTCCCGAATGCTCATCATCAGCCAAACTGGTACGATCACGATTAATTCAATTGCCTATCTTTTCACGATGGCAAATGATGGGATAGAGTTCTCAGAATAAACAGCGTTCAACTCGACTTCAATTTGTGCAGGCGTATATTGCCTTTCAAATGCAAGAACTTAATCTCGGCATGATATTCGATTTTTTCCATTTTTATAAAAACATTGACATTGACTTGCACAAATGACTGTCAAACAACAACTGAGTATCCAAAATATAATTTTCATATTTTACAATTTTCACAGGTATCTTTCAAAGCATTATAGTCCCAGAATAGTTTTGATGAATAACATCATCTTCATATTGAGATTAAAACTTTTAAAACTTTTCAAACGAACCTTCGTATTATTTTTTCCTACACCTAACGATATTTCCTATTGCAATAAGATTGAAATTTATAACGGCATTTATTGTTTACCTTACTATGTAATTTGTCCCTTCCTCTCACATTATGCACATTTGTTGCTATCAAAATAAATATTTATTTCGTAATACATTCATATTGAATCTGAATTCATATAATACAGGCAATAATAATTATAAATATATAAATATACAGTAAAAAATGCTGCAAGTATTTGAGCATAGTATTTCTTTGACTCTTCATCTGGCATGTGACAAGTTTCTGTGTGTGATGAGAAAATTACTATTCAATCTTGCTAGATTAAAAGTTGCATGAGTGACGGAATTTCTTCGTTCGAACCAAACATAAATTTTACTGTTGCAATACAGTTTAGCCATTAATAAAAATTCTTTTTGTAAAGCTGGCTGACTATATATATTTTTTACAAAAAGATTTTGATTTGTCAAGCATCTATTTGATTCATCTCTATAATTGTACTTAATTATATTATTGCATCCTATATGGGGGCACAAAATATCTGCATTAAATGTTTTCTTCTTTTCTCATTCTTTTTTTTTTTCAATTGAAATATATTACCAAAAATGAATATTCTAATCTAGCTTTCATTAATTTCCTGCGAATCATAGATGCAAGAAAATATATAAGCACCTAATTTTTTGTCTTTTTCTTAGATAACGTTAACTCTCATAAATAACTTTAGCTTCAAATACTTAGCACCATTATATTCAAAAAATTATTTGATGGATTTTTTTTAGGCAATCCATTTCTAGACGGATGATTTCCTGATATTGTTACAATATCATGTCACTTTATATAAAATGAGGTAATAGATAATGTTCAGTCATAAAAGTAAGGGCAGAGATATTTCTGTAAACACAACAAAATGCTAATAGAAAGTTCCTTAAAAAAAAAAAGAGAAATGTAATTAAATTATTAACGAGCAGTAACTCGTATATTCTTTCTTTTTTTTACTTCTCTAATATTTAAATTATTATAACACTCTCTTGCATAATATATTTATAAGAGTAATGTAATACTAGTGTATTTTTTACATAACGTAGAAGGTAGCCTGTCTGAAGTTAAATTAAAATTATTTACTTTATAATATTCAATATATATTATTCTTCTTTATCAAGATGTAAAAAATTTAAAATTATTACAAATTTTTTAATTGTATAACTGCTACTTCATATGGTTCTATATGTATTTCTTCACATTTTACAATTTCATTAATTTCATTAATTTTTTAATGAATGACAGAAAATACTCTTTTTATATACATAAATAAGAAATACACCTTGTATATGTTTCTTATCAGTAACAGTACATCAATCATATTGCTTTTTTTAAATTATGCAATGTCTCGGATAATCTATGAAAAAGATGATTATTCACAACACGCATAGTTATTGCAAACTATGATATTGTATTGATAGTTTCAGAGTACCGCTTATCTTTACAAATCGTACAAAAATATGGTATCATCTGTGGTAATACGCATTCAGACATTTTCCTTCTACGTTTTTTTTCTTTGCAGCGCAACTTATAAGTATTGAGCCATTCAGCTTGGCAGTGCCTTTCAGAAACTATAAAGTTAATTCTGCGAGTTCCTAAATTCTCATGGTAGTCGGCATAGATGTCCGTGGCAATTTAGCGATAAGATATCAATTTTATCAAAATAACATATACAAGAGGAACAATTCGCTAGAATCCTTACAGAGGATCTATGCGATGCGCCATTAAAAATTACATTCCTTATATATGATCCGCGATAATACCCGTCGCAAAGTTTGATATATTCTTATCTGTATTTATATCTTCGAGCTAAAATATAACGATTCTATGTGTACATGGTTAGGTAATTTATATAGAAGAAAAATATGTGCGATTGCAGTTGTAATAAATAGTGCAGTTGCATTAATTTAGATTTAGTTTACTTACGCAAGAGGTACTACTCAAGATTTCATCCATTTCTTCGATTTCTTCACTTAAATCTTCAGTACGAGCACTTTGAGGTTTTTCCTCTTTCTTCGTTTGTAATTTTAGAGGACTGTCTATCTTATCCGGCTCTTTAGTAGGGCTTTGCTCGTTTGCGCTACCTGATGCAGACGACACAAAGTCTTCTTCATAGTTATCTATACCATCTGTAGCTATAAAAATGTATTGCTTCAATAGCTCTTCGAAATTTGTATATGCATATTAGATGATTAGGCAAACATAAATTTTATATATTTTTTATATTATATTTTTGCAACTCACCAAGCCCAATATCCATTAATTCCTTCAAATCATTAATGTTGGCCTTTTTACCATTTAACGGCGGCAAATCACTAAATATAGAATTAGCTTTCTGATTTATAGTTGGCAAACTTTCTAGAAAAGGTTCGGCTTTATTCATTGTACTAACATTTTTCCGCTCACTGCCGACGATAATCTCGTCAAAATAAATCGTTTTCCCGAAGTTGCTTCCCGCATTAACCGGTTTCTTACTTTGTACATTATTTTCTATACTTAGCTCCAAACTATTTATACTGTTTTGTTTAGATACATCTTTATTTTGATTTTCTTGCGTGTCGATCACTATAGAGTCATCGAACTTAATTAAGGATTCGGATTTGCTTAATGGACTCATTTGATTGGACGTAACGGTACTATCAGTCTCCTGTGCCACATAGTTCGTCGCCGTGCATGTGTCATGTGGATTCGAAGTATTCTTATCAAAATTTACATTATTGTTCCTGTTACCTTCAATTCTATCAATATCCGTTGTACTCTCCCTGAGAGAAGATTGATGCTTATCATAATCCGACGTATCCGTTACAACGTCGGCGCCAGTCGGTATATCTTTGCTCTTCTTATCCGTTATTGTCACGTTTATTGGAACTTTCGGACTCTGTTCAGAAATGCTTTCTAATATTTCATTTGACGATACGGATTCATTGTGGAATATTTTGGGAACAGACACTTCAAACGTTGCATTTGCGAAATTTGTTGAGTCTTCATTTGTTACATCGTGTCTAGTTTTATTCTGTAGAAAGGATTCATAAAAATTTATTATTTCACATATCTTTGCTTTTAAAAATGTATAAAAATATAAGAAATGCTAGGAATTAAAGTTGTTAAAGCAAATATTTTTATCGGAATGTGCCTCAAACCAAATAATTTATTTCTGTAATACATTTTTGTATTAGTAACAAAGATAAATCAAGTGATGAAACATACATTGCAATTATAATTACATGAGATATAACTTTATGAAGGAGCATCAATGAGATACTTTTAAGAGCTGTCTACAGTAGAAGTGTGTAATAAGCTGTAAGAAACTGAACAATCATAGTCGATTAGTATTCTCGCATTTATCTGTGATTAGTCGATTTTTTACAATTAATCACATTATATTACTTCCATTGTAAACGACCCTTTAAAGACTAATATTCTTATGAGAGTTAGCATGGATCATTCCGAAAGAAACTGAAAGTAATTACCCGAAAGTAATTGAAGAATATTGACATTATTAATTTTGTTTTGGTTATTCAATTCAGACAACAAAAGGTCCCAAAATCAAGATATGTCTTTTTACATCTTTAAAATGTCCATTAAGCGTTTTTAAGACGTCTTATGTCTCGTTTTTGAACATGCGTGTTGTTGGGAAAGCATAGTAAAGATCTTCATTCTTTAAAAATTTTTTTTCCGTTCTAAAAGTAACATGCACATAAACTTCATTTCACAAATATAAATTAATACTTTAATTCTAGAAAAGGATTTTCAAATCTATAAAAAGAGAAAAAAGAAATTACCCAGCCAACATGTCTGAAATGCGGACATAAGGCGTCTTGCAGCAATTTTTTTTGATTACGAATATTGCGATTGCATTGCGATTTTCTCAATATTTTAGCTGTAATTTGGGACAAGAGAAATTCATCTCTGACTTCTGCTGGTCCTTAACAATTACAACTACATAATTATCCCAACAATCAACTTAACTCAAGAAAATACCTTTTGTGAACTATTAAAGGCACCGTTGATGCTATTCTTGAGAATTTCTCCCAGTAATGGCTCAGTTGAAACAATACCTAATTCTTCGCACAATTTATTTCTTCCTACATAGTTGTATTCCTTCCCAAAGTATGTTTCTGGGTCGTACACAGATATTGTATAGTCAAGACCAAAGTATTCTAGGAACTCCCTAACTAAGGAAAACAATAATTTTCCTTCTGAATTAGACAGGTACTGTTTTACAGTTTTGTTGAGAAGTGGTTCAGGATTCTGGAACATTTATTCCAAATCTATTAAATCATTCCCTTGCTACACACTGCATTTTTCTTTTCTTTTATATAAACTTCAAATAAAGATACAAATTGCTCATTTACTACAACTTTAAAATTTTGGAGTTGTTTACAGAAAAAAAAATAGAAACCAAAAAAAAAGAACATATTTTTATTCCTCTACACTGAGTCATTATACCATAATTACATTTCAGCATTAATATTACAATAATTTAAATTTATCTGAATTCGTTTTCTATTGTAGAAAACTTTGTTTTTTTTTAATTGTATCGTTGAAACAAGTAAGCGATATAACTTGTAAGAGTTTAATGGATTTTTGCTTTCTTTTTGAGGATCATTTATACATACCATACACCTTGACTTATGTCATAAGCTGCAAGAAATTAATCAATCACAGTCAAACACAAAGAGAATAAAATCAATCACATTCAACTGCGAATGATCAATTTATTGTAGATTATGAGTTTACAACATGTATAAATCTTATTCTTAAAAGTAAATTCACACAAACTTACACAGTCACATAAATGTATAAAGAAAATTATCCAATTGCATTTCTCTTATAAAGATGCATAAAATAATTGAATAATTTTCTTTATGCATACATTTATGCAGCTTCTATGCATTGTGTGAATATACTATGCCTAAGAGAACATAGATTCTTAAAAAAAATCAATCAATCATTATCTTTTATTTTTTAGTGGAAAAAAGTAAGAACTTTGATTCATTTTCTTAAACATGATGTGTTATGAATTATGCAAAACTCTATGCTCGCGTTCTAATTACAACTGTGCATGCCTCAACGACCCTTACCATAACTGAATCCTGTTCTTCGAGTGCCAGAAACACGCTCGCCCTGAGTTCCGCCTGCGAATATTTCAAAAGAGGTTCGATAAGACAGATGGAAAAGAGAGAAACATCAAATAATGATTTTAACGAAATTTCTACTCATTTTTGCCCCGAAAACATTCGCCTAACCTATAGAGACTTGCGAAAATTCTTTTTTCTCGTAAGACATAACTATCTGAAGACGCACCCGTATCTTAGCAAGAACGCCGTTACTTTCCAGAGTCTGCACCACCAGGTCCCGTAATTCGGTATCTTCCTCCATCGAGATGTTTCCGTCTATCATGATTACACAAATTAAAAAAAAATGCGCCGAAACGAATACTCAAGAGAAGTAAATATTTACGCTTTCCATCGCGTGTATGTATATACACTTTTTCGCGAAAGCGACACTGCCTAGAGATTTTTCTACCCTTCATTCCTACGGATCTGGGGACTTTTTACTTGTTAGGAAAATATAAAGACCGTTCTACATTGATCACATCATAGACGTCGCAAATCACAAGCTTGTTGTTTCAGCCAATCCGATGCTTCAATTTTAAGTCGCATGATGCTTAATGGCTTCTGCACACAGCCAATAAGCTTACAGCTCCTAATAGTGGTTATGCATCTCATTTTACCGCGTGGCAAGCGTTTCCGCATCCAGTGTGCTGGAGCCATAAAGCTCAATATCTGGTCTCAATGGCTGCGTTCAACAGACTCAACAGTTGAACGATCGCTGCTATTGATATATTCTCCCAGATCTAAAATGCTGATTGGATGATCCAAAAGAATACACCAATAGTAATAAGTACTCACTCAACTGGGGCTCGATTGTGTATCTCGAAATGAAATGAAAATTACAAAAGTGAACAAATTCATTAGAATATTCATAATTTAATTGGTTAATACCTAGTAATCATTGCTCATTTTTGTAATTTTCACCTCATTTCAAGATACACAATCGATTTCTTGTCACAGATAAGTACGTACAGTATGGACACTGAACTTTTTGTGACCCCCAATTTTTAATGCGTCAATTTCCAATTAGGAATGTGGCTGCCTTCAGCAAGTTGAAAACAGGATTAGATTAGTTGGATCTCCTTCACATAAAATAATTAATCCTTTCGCCTACAATATTGTGTGAAACTCGTGATAAAGAAATTAGGACTAAACATGAGTATCACAGGTGAAAGTCATGGTACGTTGTTTCGCAGCAAACATGATTGAATTGAAATGAATTGAAATGAGTCAGATTTTCAAAAATATTCACGAATTAATGATTTACATTTAATGTTAAAATGAATGTTTTTCCTGAATGCATTTTTATTTATTTCTAGGAATTGCATGGAATATATCTCTATACCTTTCAATCTAAAATAATATTAGCTTTTTCTATGCACAATACACATTGTAAATACTGTTCAATTCAAAATTTTGAACAAGAAATGCAGTTTTTTAATCCAATTGTATCTAACTGAATCTAATTGAATTCAATTAAATCCAAAAAAAATTCGTTATTTAAAATACGCATTCGGATAGAAAAATATTTCAGTCCATTTTAATCCATTCTCGTTTGCTGGGTCGTACAAAGCTTATTTTTTTTTAATTTGTAAAAGAAAAGTATGGCAAAGGATTAATAAAATTAAGTTTTACTAAAAAATTAAATCAAATTTTTTCATAGACACTATATAGACTTATATTTATACGATAAAATATTCTCGTAATAAAATATGCATGTGCGTGCGTGCATGTGTGTGTATGCGTGCGTGTGTGCGTGTACATATACTATTAAATTACAACTTCACATTTAATTATAATTTTTATGTAATATATTATTTTTTCATACATAATTATTCAATTACAATTTTCATATAATATTTAATCAATTATTTGTAATTTATTTGTTACTGTTTAATATTATTATTATTATTAATGTGAATATTATTTTTATATAATAAGTTCGTTAACATTATATTATATATAATTTTGATTTAAAAATATACTTGCTATAAACAATTTCATGACACGACCGAATTATATCTTTTTTTTTTAGAAAAATTATTCTGTAGCTTTATAAAAACTCAAATTTATAAGCGCCTTTCCAATCTACAACATGGCGGCGAATGTGACCTGAGACTCACTATTCAAAGGTGCCGACGCTCAGTGTCCATACTGTACTTATACTGTGTTGGCATCCTTAAGCCTTGTGCCACGATGCTAGAAATTGGTTCGAGACTCGGATGAAGAAAAAATTGACCAATCGCAATGATCATGTGATCAAATTGTTCAAATGTAATTTATTGATTTTTTTCTCTGTCCGAGATCTCAGATTGATTTCTAACGTAGACATCGCTTTAGAGAGAGATGTTTGCAAACTGAGCACATCATGTTATCCCTTCTATCAGCAAAGCCAATAATTAAAGAAGTAATGCTATCAGAATATCAACTAATAAGATCTCTCATATAAAACAACAATTTTGTGGAATTTATAGATTTATTTAAGGAGTTATTTAAAAATTGTATCTCTCTGTTCTTAAATAAATATAAAGATTATCAATATTTAATGTATTTATTACAAATATATATCTTTATTCAATACTGTTTCTAATACTGTTTGTTATCATTTCAGAATTATGTCAAAATTGAAATTTGAGTAACAATAAAATTCATTTGCCAAATTGTTTTTATGACCTGGAAGAAAATCACATTTTCTAACGTCCAACAGCCTCTCTGCCAACTCCGCCATAATAGCACCTATATATATGCATATAAGATGATAGTTTTATTTATATAAATGCGTAAATAACATAACAAACATTTATGATAGAAAAATAATTTCATACACACCTGTGCAGAGAACAATATTTTTCTTAGTCAAAAACTTTATTGTCACCGCAGTCTTAGTTAGACATTCCTCTGAAAGAAAAGGTGGATCGGCTATAACCAAATCGTACTGACTAGATATATGCCGAGGTATATCCAGAGGAAACTTGTAATCATATTGTATAAAATCTGTACCAAATATTTTGAAACGACTATCATACTCAAACAGTGTAACTGCAATTAAAATAATATATTTACAAATAGAGTTAGAAATTAAGAGATGAAAGCTTTACATATGATCTGAGTTGAATTTTCATTTTAAATAATTTGATGTAAATTTTATATACATATTCAATTCTGCAAACTGCATGTCGAATTTAATTTTCAGTCTTGAAAATTTAATCAAGACAAAATTAGTAATATTACAAATTAATAAGCGTATCTTGAAACCGTAAATAATTTTATTGCTGAAAATATTATCTCAACTGAGATTCGAACCCGGATATCCCAAATTCCATACTCCCAAGACTTCAGATTATATAAAGTTTCATTTCTTGGTTATGTATTTACATTATGATCTTAAACTTAATCTTACCTTGGCTACAGTTCACTTGATGCTATAAATGCTTCACAATATTTTTTAATTGATCGATTAATAAAATTCTTTCTTCTGAATTGGTCAATCAAAAGCTTCGAAGCATTTATAGTGCCAAGTGGACTGCATCCTTTGTTTAATAAAAAGAACGTTATTTTATCATTTACAACATGTATTACGTTACTGTTACCATTTTTTGCAAAAATAATGTACTACTTATTAATTTTAAAAAGTAATGTGTTATAATACTTAGAAAATTACTTTCTGTTTTCACAATACTAAGGATTTTAGATTTTAAAATTACACTAATTAATATCAAATATAATAATCAGCAAATAAAATTTAAACCGATATGTGAATAACATAAATAAATAAAAAATGTCTTTTATAATTAAGCTGATTCTTGATGCTTATAGTTCAGGAAAATTAGATTTTTTTGGAGGCAATTGCCATAAAAGATTTGTATGCAAAAAAATTGACAAATCATAATCAATTATTCTCCTAGCATTCAACTATAATTGATCAATTTCTTATGACTTAAGGCTTAAAACACTTATTGGGTGCATCCAGAAGCACGACCGCTTACTGAACACTAAGTGAGCTCTTGCACCTGATTGGCATATTCCATTAGATCTAAAAATATAGACCGAACCTGTGATGCACTATTATAGATGTCTATTATAGATCCAAACTTACAGACAAAAAAGTAACAACTTAAAAAGTATAACAGTAATAGTATTATAAGTAACATGTTATTTTCCAATCTACTTGTAAATTAAGTTAATATTACTCCATATATTCAGGATTAGTCAGTACTTTGCCGTTTACCACACTCCTTCTTTAATTTGCTGTAAAGAGTTGGACAAGAAACTAGAGCGATCTTTCCATTTGCTGGTGTAGCATTTAGAGCACCATTAACAAAAGCCTTGATTGTATCGTCATTATACCAAAATTGACTCAATTGCTGTAATATTGACTGTGCATCAATTTCTGAATTGATTTCTAGAATTAAAAAAATCTCTTAGGTTGTCCGGAAAGTTCGTATCGACTAACCTGTATAATTTAATAAATATATACTAAAATTTAAGTTTAAATTTTCTGTGTTTCAATTTTCCTTCAACATCGACATAAACTTTCCGGACAACCCAATATCATATTATTTTATCATATTTTTCATTTATTTTACCCAATTCTCATCAAAAGGAGTATCTGGCACTTGATCTTTCTCGGATATCAACTTCAACAAATTCTCTCGTTCTTCTTTCTCCTTTAAGAATTCCTCTAATGCGGCAAGCGTATTTGAGCTTAATTGTGGATCATTATCACTATCACTATTACTCATTGGATCTGTTTTTGTGACTGAACTAATGTACACTTTCTTTTTTTTAAAACTTAAAGTGAGATAATTATATGGTTTATATTTGACAAAAGCAAAAGAGTTTTAGAAGTTTTAGTGCAATCTAGTGCAAGAATAAAAAAAGGGTAATTACAGTTTAGCTGTAATTACTACAATATCACAAAAATTAATAAAATTAAGGCAGATGTTTGCACGAAATGAATGAATCTGGCAAAAAAGTGTCGCTCTGTCGCGCAAACCGAGATATTAATTGTTAAAGTTTACAGATATTCAGGTTAGGAAATCTGTAAACACACATCGATGGCATAGAGAGTTACACAAATTTTCTACTTTAAAAATACAAATTTTCAGCTTTAAAAACACATTATTTTCTGTATAATTTTTTTTCTACAGTAGAGATTTTGTTTTTAAAGCAAAGAATTTGTTTATAAAGCAGACAAAATATCTAACCAAGTATTCTGCTGTAAAAATAAAAATTATATAAAAAATAATTTGTTTTTAAAGCAAAGCATTTGTATTTTTAAAGCAG